CTTCGAACTCGATCTGTCTTTTTATGACACAAAACGACCCTGAAAATCCCAGGTCGCTCGCTCAATAAAGCATTCCGGTGAAGCTGAAATGCAGAAGAATGCGGGGAAGAAGAAAACGGAAATCGCTATGCTTTAACATGGTGACTTCCGTTTTCTTCTTCCCCGTATTCTTCTGCATTTCAGCTTTACCGGAATGCTTTATTCGTTCTCGAGTTATCGTGCGGACAGACAGACAGACAGACAGAAAAAGTTGTTTTTGACCAGACGGAGTAATAGGCTTCGCTAATCGCTCAGCCAATGAAGTTAAAATTTTCAGCAAGAATTATGTTGCGAGTTGGTATCAAAGTGTTCGTTTTAGTGGTTTATGTCGACTGCGGCTGTGTTCAGTGTAAGTGCACTTACTCTTTAATTTGCGCATCTTGCCCTCGATTTGTTTCCACCTGACGTGTTCTTCCGTTTTGGCGTAATTGCCAGTTATGGATGTGTTGTGAACTCTAACCCTACTAGCACCTTGCACATTGATTTGCAGTGATGCCATTTTTCTGTTTGCGGTGGATATCCTGTTTAGCGCTTCTAACGAACTTAATGTGTAATTATTTCCTTGTCTGTGTACGTGACTATAGGGATGCCCTACCCTCTTCATTCGGTGTTTCAGTTCGTCTATCATCCAGCAACATCATGCCACTCATACGAGTCGCGGCGGCTGATCGCAAAGTGTCAAAGTTGTTGGTCGCTGAGACTTTGAGTGAGTCATTGAGTGGTGCGATGAAGAAACTCAATCTAATCGGCTCTGATTCTGACTTCAAGGTTAGTGTTTGCTTCTAGTTTCCCACATGTCCTCAAACTCGAACACCTTGGCCTCATAACCTATACTTTCTTTGTTTGTTTGTTCAGTAAACTTTACTTTCATATTTATTCAACAGGTGTGCCTCGAGGAAGATGGTCCGGAGGCAGGAAGCGAAGTTGATTGTGAGGATGTCTTCCAGGAACTTTTGAAGGATGCTTTTTCTCAGAAGAAAAGGTTGAGCTTTCTGATACTCCCAGTTAACTCACAGTGGACAAGGTCTGATTCGTCTGGTACGTAAAGATTATTCTGGTTGGTCCCTTACTTGTTCTGTGACTATCCTATGTATACTATCCTCATGTTCTGTTGTCCTTCTAGAATCGTCTTCATCATTGTTGTCTTCAACTTCGTCTTTATCCTCAACTTTGTCACAATCACCACCCGGATCACCTGCTTCTTCTCTGCAAGCAATTGCCAGCCCAAGTTATTGCACGATGGAGGGGTGGTCTCCACTGCCTATGCGTGATATCGCCCTGGCATTGGATCCCGTGCTGAAGTCACTAGGAGAGCCCGTTGACCAGCAGCCTCGGAACATGTACAAGCTTAAACAAGATGCTGTGAGGGCCGCTTCCATATTCATAACAACCCACATTCTGCTAAGTGTTAAAGATTATCGCCAGTGTAGTTCAATTCATTATGCACAGTCAGTCTTTCACTTTAATAATGGTTTATACAAACCAATCTTCAAGCAGAGCATCAATGGGGAAGTTTGTGGGGATGGTTTTGATGACTTTGTTTTAAAGGTCTATAATGCTGTTTCTTTTGGCAAACCGTCTGACTTGAAGAAAAAGAGAGGGAAACGTTCCTGGGCAGTGGTTCCTGAAGAGAGCAGTGATGTTGACGATCCTGATGTCATTGTGAATCCCTGCAGACATAGTCTTGATTATGGTTGTGTTGCATACAACCCTCCTCTACCAGCTGATGAATCTCCAGAGTCACAAGAAGATAAGAGGCTCATTCTAATCTCATTGACGAAAACTCTGCAGAGGTAATCAAACTTTTGCGCCTTACTTATTCCACTCAAAGAGGAGAAATCATTGCGCGTAAGCCTTTGAAAATAATTGTAACTGACTTCTTTCCACGGTGGCCTCACTTTAAATGTGCCATTAATCTTCTGCAACATGTGAAGACCCTCATGGGCAAAGATATTTTTTTCTATATTTACTGAAGAGTGAGCTAAGAAGGCAAAACAAATTTGTGGCTTCATGGAGGCTTTGGGTGTTGCTGAGATGAGTTCAGGTCAACCAGCCAAGGTCGAGAGAGCTAACAGAATTTCCAAGATGACTGAATTAATGGATGGAGCTTGTGAAGGAAATGAGAGGCCTCAAATTATTTTGTCAACTGCAACCATTCCTATCATCTCAAAATGTTTTAATGAGGACCTTTCCTTCATGCTACAAGTAATCCCTGTAAGTATGATAATCCAGTATGATCCCATCTTCTAATTTTTTCACAAATGAGTGTTTTAACTTTTGGTTTTCTTTTGCAGTCTGATTCAAATGAAGCTGATATTCTGGAAGCATCTCAGTGTTCTAATGGAAACTCTATTCTTGTTCTTAAAGGTATGTAAAATTACTTTCATTCTGCCTTTAGTTTCTAAATAGACTATTTAATTAGTTTTATTTAATTACAGGAGCCAGCATTTTTGATGAGGAATCTTATCCTTACTTAGTTATTCAGAATAGTTTTCTAATTAAGTGTGTTGACTTAGTTCAATCATTAGCAGCGTTCATATCAAGCTTTTATGTATTTGGCTACTCATACAAAAATGAAGTCAAATGCACTCTAGAATTTATTCAGAGGTAAGATTATTTGTAAAATACTTCTGACATGATATAATATCTTCACTTGCAACTACAACTTAATATTTTTATCATAGGTTTCTTTTGAACGTGAGCCCTGAGAAGGGCAGCAAATTCCCCAAGCGCTTTACAGAGAATGTGATTGCCAAGGTTGTCAACCTTTCGAATGAACTACAGTCATTCAATTCCCCGTGGGCTCTTGGATTTTAATGTTTTAATCATGGACTCTACATTCAAGTCAACTTGAAGTTTTAACCACTTCCATTAAAAATATGGGGATTTTAAATAGGATTTTTCTTTAATGCTGTCAGAGGTAAGTTGTGTATCAATGAATTATGAACTGGTTGCATTGGGTCTGTTTCTGGATCTGATCTTTGTAATTACTTTTCTGCTTTCCCTTAGGACACAGCATATTTAATTTTTGAAGGAGCAGCTGCAGTTGAGTCTCTACTACAGAACCAAATTGACCAAGGTGTACCAAACCAAATTGATCTGAACATACTAAAGTAATTTTTTATTTTTGTCTTTTAATGCTGTTACTTTTGATTCTAGATTATCAACTAATCACTGACATTTTTCATTTCAAGGTGTCTCCTATGAAATCCATTTATAGCTGGGACAATGTGAAATCAGCACAATATGGAAATGAACTGAGCTTTATTTTTAAGAATCTTCTATTCAATCTGACTTATAAATTTGTTTCCTGCTTGGTTTTTATATGTACACCTAGATTTTTATCTCTGCTACAGAAGTAAGTTATCTTACTTGCTATCAATTGCTACTACTAAAGAAACTATTTTAGTAATCTATTCATTTGTGTTATCACAAGCTATTGTCTGTTATTACCTGACATTTTGAAATGCTTAGTTACTACAGTGTTAATGATTTGGAAAATAAATGAAGTGAAGTTAACACGCTGACTTTCTTTTGCATTGCCTTTATTGAGATTTCACTGAGATTGATGACACATTTTATGCAGTTTCTTGAAATTTAACGTTAAACGGAGAACTAACTTTAAGGAAAAGGTCGTGACATTTTACAAGAACAAAATGATAAATTTAATACGGTTTCTTGAAATATAATATGCAAAAGGAGATGAAATTTGAGGAAGGTGTTACGACGTTTCAGAACAATTGAGTAATGAAATTTCATTTTGTATCGTAATGAAATTTCACTACGTACTTGTAATGAAATATTTAATAACGTTGTCATGAAATTGTAATGAAAATAGCTTTATATTAATGTTATTAAAATGTTATTAAATTTTTTTTACAGTGTAGTCTATTACCGTTGAACACCGATCCGGCAGATAACCGTAGAACAAAGGAACGGGTAGCTAATAGAAGTTGGAAAAATAAGTCCAAATGATAATTTCATGTGGACATTATGTGCCACTTGAACCCCTTGTCCAAAATTTCTAGTTGTGTATACTTTAAAGTAACTTTTGTGTACCTAAAATTAAGTTTCAGTTAAGTGGAGGCAGGTATGTAGGTAAAACTTAAGTTTTTCCTCCCGGGTAGCCGTAAACGTAAGTTATTTTGTCGTCTTCAAAGTCCGTCTGAAGGTAAGCGGCGGCGTATATTTATTAAATTTTTCGGAAACCCAGACTCGAGCGTCAATAAGTTGAAAAAGATCCCGATTACACTCAAAAAGCCCTTTCTAATGGTGTAGGAGAGTGACCTATCGGCTCTGAGTCACTGTTCCATACTATTACCGGAAAAACTTTGAGGAACTCCCATATTTGAGGAAACCTTCACCGATCTCGACTCAGAAATTTTGAGGAATCTTTTGGAAAAGGGATACAGTGTTTGGAAATTATATACTTAACGTACGGCGAAGGAAATAAGGTGAATTAAGGTAAACTCTGCTTGTGACGCTAATTATCCTAATTGGAGCTCCCCTTTTGTACGTCCCAACTCTACTGACTAGTTTCTTCCTTCAATAACTATAAATCCGGTATTAAAAAGCGAAAAAAATTACTCGTGACTCAGAGCAATGTTTCATAATGAAAGATGTACGGCGATTGTCTAACTGACCATCTAGACAGGCCGTGACCAGTGAAGACATTTGAAGTCGTAAAGTTTCTACACTTACTGCCAAGTGGTATTGATCGAAAGAGTTGGGAACGCCTGAGGCGTGCTTATCTACCAACACTAAGGTAAAGGGGGTCATCACACTGCGAAAAGTGAGGCGAGGACGACGGTCCCCTTCGCTTTGAAAAGTGTGTGGCAATGTCAAAGCAAAAACAATTGGTGCACTACGAAAATACCCCGGTAAGTCTAGCCCCAACCCTTTGCTATGACCGTTAAATGTTAGGATAGAGAAGTAAACTTGTACGATAGGTTTTAGCCCGCCCTTCTGCTTTGAAAAAGCTATCCAGCGGGCTTATG